GATTTATTCTACTGGGAGAGAAAAAAATAAAAAATGTTTAAATGACAGTAAGATAGGGGAAGGAATACAGTTAAGTACTGATTTTGTATCAAACATTGTGCTAATCATATTGCATATATAATAATATTTAATCATCACCACCTCATTGGTATTGTTCCCACTTGATTAATGAAGGTAAGTTTCTCTCCAACCTTTGCTGGGCCCAGAGCAGGAGTACAAATAGAGGCCCACCTACCATAAGTCAAAATATTTAAAAGTTATAAATTAGACTCATAAACTGATAAAGACTACTCTATTTTCTTTCCTTGATACGTATACTTTGATAACAATCTGGAAGGCGAGGTTTGAATTCAGAATTCTCTGACTCTTCATCCATCCCTAGCCTGTGGTATCCCCACCCACTTCTCATCTGTGGCTCCACTTCACACCTTGGACAGGCTTCATGGACAGAAGCCTGTAGGTCCAACCTCTGTTCACAGCTTCCATAAATAGCCAGCCTTTGGCCACCTCTCTGTCCCGAGGTATACACATTTATCAGGAGGTGTATACCTTCTCTTCTCTTCTCTTCCCCACCAAAGAGAACATGCAGGCCCTGGAAGTTGTCTTGGGAGCCTTTGGGCTCAGAATTTCAGAGTCTTGGGTACCTGGGATGTGGTCTGGAAGAAACATGGGCTCTGAGTAAGGGGTACAGCCGGAGGGGGGTCACAGAGCCTTCAGCTCAAGCTACTGTGCCTTAGTCTAAAAGCAGTTATGGATGAGGAAGCAGGTTAAGTAACATACCTAAGCGTACACAGGTAGAAAGTGCTGGAGTCAGAATTGCACAGTGAGAAGGAGTAGTACCTCAATCAATGAGGGCAAATCAACTGAAACATGAGGATTGATTAATGAATTGCTTGGGAGGGAGGGATCAAGGCTATCAGGGAGATCTTTCTAGGAAGATTGTTGTTTAAAGTTGTGAAGGAGCAGGGCAGGGACAGGGCCAGAGGTAGAGGAGAACATTGCCTATAGCCCTTGTCCTGCACCCAGAGGCTGAAGGGGTGGCGATCAATTTGGAGAGATTAGAGCAGTGCTTGTGGGGTACAAAGGAGGAATGAAGACTGAAGAGTTAAGTGGTTGTTATCCAAAAGGGACAGGAGAGATACATAATCACATTTAGGTATAAGGGCTAAGGGAGAACAAGACAGCAAAAATGACTCAAAAGTTTCTTCCCTGAATGACTAGGGAGTTGGTGAGTCATTTACAAAAATAGAGACCAGAAGGAGCCTGAGGATACTGGGCTTTTAAAGTCAGTATTATGGGTTGATAATGAGAATACTGGTAAAGCGAGAGAGAAAACAAGTATGCAGAGTCTTGGAGCTATATCGAAGGAGCGCACAGAAGAGAGGACTGCCGGAAACAAAACAAACACTCACAAAAAACTGAGCAGCAAAAGTTTCTGCGGGACAAGAAGCCTGATCTGCATAGTGTCATCAATGCGATGGTAGACCCAAGTTTGAGTGTGAGGCCATTAAGTACAACATACAAAGAAGGGAAACCCCTGGATTTAGCAATCAGAAGTTACATCCGTAGGGATAGGAAACCATTTGCAAGCATTTGAAGATACATAATAAGGAAGTAGAGGAGGTGAATATAGATAGTTTTAAAAAAAAATTAAGTCTGGCTTCAAGAAAATGAGTGAGATTAGAGATTTGTTTGATGGGAAAGTAGGATCTGGGAAAAAAATTGACTACTACTACTTCTTCCTTCCTTCCTAGTTTTTCTTCTTCTTTCTTATTTCTTCTTATTATTATGTATAAGAATATTTGTAACATCCCTGGCTGAAAGGATGCAGTGAAATAGGAAAGACTAAGGATATGATTACTTTGATAAGATACACCCACCCCTTGCCTCTACTCTGCTTCATTAGAGGAGTAAAAAACAGATCCCACCACGATCCAGCTGAAGACCAGCTGTCCTCAGTAAAGGTAACCCTGTTTATGACAATCATCACATGAAGCTATGGCTTCCAGGTCACCCTTATCAGGTAATTCTCACCTCCACAGCTTCAGGCCTCTTTTATCAGTAAGTCCTCCTCTGCCCTAGCCTGGCCTTGTCTTCCTTCTCTCCATTATTTTTCTTCATAGCACTTATTACTATCTGACATATATTCACTTATTTTTATTATGGTTGTTTTGTCCCTGATAAAATGGCAGCTACAGTTCTTAGAACAGTGTCTGGCACATCGCAGGGACACAGCACATGCGTGTGGAATGATGCACGTGCAGCAAGGAGGAAGGGATGGTTGATGGGGCAGGAGTCCAAAGCAGACTTTTCCTTTAACCACTCGGATGGTAAATATTTCACGTTTTGCTGGCCACAAGCAGTCCGTGTCCCATATTATTCTTTGTTGTTTTTGAAGTAATCCTTTAAAATATGTAAAAGCCATTCTTAGCTGACAGGCCACACATAAACAAGCTGCAAACCTGACCGCTGCTTGCCAGTCACTGTGAAAGTCAAGGAAACAAGATTTAGAGCACAGATGAAGATGTTGGGTGAAAAAGAAAATGTATACATCCACCTCTGGACTGTAAGTGAGAAAACAGATGAAATATGAAGAATAGACAAAGGAAGGAGTCCATGTCAGTGGCGTCAGCCTCCTAGTGAGGAGAAAGTGAAGTCTACAATTAAGTGTTAAACACTTGAAAAGGGAGGAAATTTTGAAAATGGGATGGCTAATCATATAGAGAGGAATAAGAAAACTGATACACAACATAAGATTCGGCAGAAGTTGGAGAACATGAATCTGTGTGCTAGAAGACTAGAGAAAATGTCAATCCTGAGAATTTTAACTTGTGAGCTTAAAGCAGTGCTGCACAAAATTCTGCAGATGGTTGGCCTGGCGTACCAGTTCAGAATAATTTGGCACTTCTCATACTATTTTTGATAAAATTGCTTCTAGAAACAACAAAGAAGTATGAACTAACTTGTAAATGATAACATCAACAATTAACATTTGTTTATTAATAAATAATAGCCTAAGCGATTTAAATAAATAGTGTAGGCCCTAAGCTATTTATTAATGGCTAAGCTACAACTGTTATCTCATTTAATCATATTACGTGAGTTCTAGTGTTATCTCTGATTTACAGATGAGGAAACTAAAGCTTAGAGAAGTTAAGAGACTTACGCAAAGACACACACACACATACACACACACACACACACTCTTAAGTGACAGAACCAGATGAACACAACCGAGTCTGTCTGACATCCAGTCCATGCCCTTATCGCAATAGGGTGCTGATAATGCATTGATATCAATATGAAAGGAGTTTCTACTGATAGTTCTAGTCTTCACCCTGTCATGTTCAGCATTTTTATATTGCTTTTGATGAGGACATGTATACTTATCAAATTTTTCAGTTTTGTAGAATCAGGAAAACTAGAGAATGCATTAGATAACCGAATAAGAATTCAGGATTATTATCTCTAACTGGAGTGGTTCACCAAAGAAGAAATATAATCGAGATAAAAATATAACCCTTTACTGAGGTCCAGGAACAACTGTCCAAGTACACTGTCTTAGCTGTTGGGTGTATAGGGAGGAAAAATGATTAGAGATTTTAGTCACCTCACTTTAAGGATTGCACTGAACTGTAACTTGTTCAGAAGAAAATAAAATAGGGAAGCTGTTCAAGACCACCTCATCTAAGGAAAAATTAAAGAAACTCATAAAGTCTTGGAGCAAGAAATCGTGATGGTGATGGGGCAGGAGACAGAGTAGTGTCTTCAAATATCTCTGAACGTTTTCACATGGAAGATAAATTAGATTTCTTCCGTGTGACCTTTGTGGTCAGAACTAAGAATAATAAGTAGAAATTTCAGGGAGCCAGAGTTTGGCTCACTATGAGAAAATAGCTCCTTCCAAATTAAACCCATTCAAAATTGTAATGAGTTGCATTGGTAATTAATGCCTCGGCTATTGCTGGACATGTTTTAAACTGTGACTGAACTATCATTTATTATAACTCACTCTGTATGACCTCTAAAGCCCCTGCCAGCACAAAATTTTTGCCTATGAACATGTCAGATGAATAAAGCATTTCTATATTATTTTTAAAAAATGTAACTTAGCAGCTTTCTTCTGTGCTGTGTTTGCAACCTGATTTAGTAGTGTTAGCTATATGGTGGTATATATTACAAAACTTCTGTTTTGAACTAAGCTGTACAAATTCAAATTTTTTACTTGGAATGTGAGAAGATGTTTAGCACACCAAGTTAGGCTTCGAGTATTTTTTGAAAAGGATGTGTACTTTACTTCTGTATAATTATTGCCAAAGATTATACTGAATTTGTATCATATTTCTGCCAATATTTCTTCTAAAGCCATATCCCATGATTAATTTTCAGTTAGTTTACTTAACACCCATAGTGTTTTCTGTAAAGCAAATGTTTTCAAGAAGTGCCTTGAAAAGCTCACTTATCTTTTAGCATATTTGATTCTAATATACACAGTGAAGTTGTTTCAGGAGGGACATAATCTATTGACTTTCTGAGACCATTATAATTAGTTCTTAAACTTAATTCTGTGATCTGTCTTATTATGTTTTTGCTCTGTTGTTTTGTGTGTGTGTATATGTATATGTATGTGTATGTATATACACATATGTATATACGTGTGTGTGTATATACACATGTATATACACATATGTATGCGTATGTGTATATATACACACATACATATACACATATATATACACATATATATTCAGTTTTGATTTCTCAATATTATCAATAGAATATTAACTGGATATATGTTTTAAAGCCTCTAGTTTACTTTTCCGAAGGTATCAAAAATTTTTTTTATCGTTTACTATCACTAAGTCTTTCTGACATTTATGGACAAAGTTGAAGCAAAAAATAGAAAACCTGTATAGTTTCAGTTTTAATCCTTTAAAGCTTACCTAATAATCAGTAGGCCTACTACTTATTGAAAAAGAAATACTTTTTTTTTTTTTTAGGTGTTATCCCTTTTCATGGATTTTCAATGTATGGTAAGTTGGGCTTTAAAAACATCATAATGTACACCATAAAAACATACAGTGTTATCTCTCAATTTAAAAAATAATGACTGACAGATATAATTATTTTACTATAATAAGACTATAAAGGAAAGAATAAAGTGAAATGCATGCTGGTTTCCCATAGGGGCTTAATTTTTAAAAATTATTGTTTTTATTACACGTTAAGGAAATCACCCACAAGTTATTATGAACATTTTAAAATGTTGAGTTTAGTAGGCCAGGTGTGTTGGCTCATGCTTGTAATCCCAGCATTTTGGGAGGCCTAGATGAGAGGATCATTTGAGGCCAGGAGTTCAAGACCAGCCGGGTCAACATAGCGAGACCCTATCTAAAAAATAAAATAAAATGTTGAGTTTAGTATTTTTATATGTCCAATTTAAAAATGTTAAAAATAAGAGGTCACCGTAATTGGTTAGGTGGTGATTGCTTGACAGATTAGAATTAGAGTATACTGTGAAAATGGTCCTGTGGTTTACCATTTTTTAGTCCAATGGAAACTAGAGATACACATTAATATTTAGCTCTAGTAGGTGTAAAATCAGATTGCTTAAATTCCTAAAGTAATTCTCTTAAGAGTTTTTTTAAAATAATAGGTCAGAAAGGATGCTAAGGAAGGGACAACACTGAGTTTGAGCTCATGATTTCTTCAGGCTACTGATATGCACAGCAACAATTACATCAGAGCATTCAGTCACCTGAGGTGCATGTGGGAGATGCATGTGCAGGCTTGAGAGCTCTGAGTGCCTCCGAGGCCTCATGTGTCATTAAATGAGGAATGCAAGAAGCTTATGAAGATTAGCAAAAGCAAGAACTCTCTACACCTTAATGCCACTTAATTTTTAAGTTTTCAAGTGTTACATATAAACTTATTAAAGATTGTTGTCCCCTTTATTTCTACCCCTACCTTTAGAATGAACAGAAATACATTAATGTTTCGCCTTTGTACCAAGAATCTTCAGTAAACACTTTTCTTTGTAAACATCAGTGTTCAACATCAGATGGTCATGGTGAATGACATAACACTATCATTCAATGAAAAAGAGTCAAAGTACCTAGGGACTTTATGCTATACTTGGTGTTAGTGACAGGCTTGAATTATAGGGTACTCAGCTTTATTCTCTTGGGCAACCAAAATTTCATAACATAGTACGTAATGTTATAGTGACCTCACAGCATATTTCTCTTATAAATGTGAGGAATTTAAAATAGAAAACCAAAAAAGATTAATAATATAAACTTTTACATCTAATAATAAAAATATTCACCTTTTTATCTTTCTACTTTAGTAGTTCCAACTGCAAAAATTTTTCAAGTAAATCATTTTTGGAAGTTGTACTCGAATGATTTGGAGGATACTTGATGTCATGAAAGTTAAAATCTTTTAGAAAGATCTTCTGGTGTTTAAAATATATCATTGACTCAGCCTCTGCCTATTCACATTTATGATCATTTAAATAGGCTACAGTTCATACACCCAAGGGGAAAGCATTTGCTGACAATGATGCAAAATGTTTGATATAGAATTTATTTATACTATTTTAGAAAACTATTTTCAGCATCCACAAAAACTTTACCAGCAACCACTTATTTAGAACCAGTATACAAAAATAATCACAAATCATCCCTAAGGAACTCTAGTTAGTACTTTGCCATTTCAGTTTTAGTTACTATATTTCTTTAAAATTACAATACTTATCTCTTTTAAACATTGATACAGATCTTTAATGATAGGCTGTCATTAAAAAGGAAACCAAAAAGATAGTAATTTATTTAAAAATTTACTCAGAATTCTTCTATAATTTTAAATACCTTCTGCTCTTCTATTTATGCAGATTAATGAAGTTTTATTGTAGGTGTATAGTATATTATGGTGTCATAAATTCCTACAGTATAGTCTTTAATTGGTTTAAAAGATAATTAGCTAAATTTATTTTTATGGAAGAACCAAATAGGGAAGGATGTTTAAAATTAAAAATTAAGTCATGTAGAATCTTTTTTACATATAATCTATAATGGACTAAAGCTTTTCCATTTCATAGCTATATAAAGGAATTCAACATAAACAACTGTGGCATCTTGAATAAAAACTAATTGTAAATTTCTTTTATATTGTGTATATTCATATAAAAGTGCTTATTTTAAGATTCTCTTTTCATTTCTTCACTGGAAACTTTTATTAATAATTATTGAATCCATAACATCTTCAGATTCAGGTTATAGGTTTTCACATATCAATATTTAAAAATTGGAGGAAAAAATTTGCATCATTTTTTTAAAATAAAGAAATTCCAAACTTTCATCTTAGATTTATAATAATAGCATATATATTTGTACCACACTGTTGTTTCTTAGGTTGTTATTGCAATTAGAGCATGAGTTACTATTTGTAAATACATGAAATATCCTAATTTGGGCTATTTTTATAAGTAGCAATTTATTTAATAATAAAATAAGTTTTAAAATTTGTCTTGAAATAGACATACCTGTCTTTTTAAAATTTTTATATATAATATATATTGTTTATACATTTTTCTATATATACACAAGTATTTATTTTTATATGAATTTAGATATTTACCCCCAAAAGTGATTTCTCTTTTGCCTTCAGAAAAAATAAAAATTCTCACTTGCAATGCTAATTTTTAATGACTTATTTATCAGTAATACTGTGCATTGCCCTTTATCCCAGAAAATTGAACTTTTGTGTTTGAAAGAATTTAAAATATTTTACTATTTTTCCTTTTACTTTGTCAAAAAGAAGAGAGCTCAACTGGCCCACTGATTTCCTTGTTTACTTAGTGCTTACTGCCCTCAGAGCATTACCAACAGGCTACAGAGCCCTAGAAATTCTTACTTGTCCAATACATATTGTTTGAAATTACCCTGTAAGGCATTTTTTGTTAAAATTAATATTTAAGTAATGCAGTTGTATCTATCTGCATTATAAATTTGTTTCTATGCTGCCTGAAATATTTGAGGCTTGAAAAGATGGAAAGCATGACCACCTTTGTCAGTGTAGAATAATCACATGCTCAGGTAGGTCTCCAATCGAAGATTAGGACTTCATGACATTCAGCTGTGGGATGTCTGGTTGAGTTGACCCAGCTGTGCTTAATTGCTACAGACTGGGGGCAATCAATTCAACATTCATTAGAGAAATAAATCCTTTCTGCCTACAGATTGTTTTCAGTTGATGAATATATATGGTGATGTAGCAATAAAGACCAGTAGTGTACAGCTATTACTCAAAAATCTTTATTTTCAAATTGAATTAATTGAAGACCTTGATTCTAAAAGTCATAAATCATCTATTTTACTTACCTGACTTCCAAAATTAAAAATTTTGAAATGTGGCCTGAATCCTTTGTGAGAGAAAGTGAAAATAAACTGCCTGGTTGTTATTTTCTTATTACTTCAATTTTAAAAAGGAGAGATTTGATTTATGTAGTTTTTATAAGTTACGTGGAATTTTTCATATTTCTATATCATTCCATAATGTCATTCTTAGCCATCTGTTAAATTGGGATTATAATAGTTTGTAATATACTCCTTTCTTTATAATATTTAATGGCTGTTTGAACTTTACATGTGCATATATTCCCCTCTCAAAATGAAAAAAAGTAGTATGATTTTAAACTTGTCTATGAGTGTATATGATTACTATAAAATAGTGATTTATAATGTCATATTTTATAAATTTATCTTAAAATTTTAGTAGTTCTGCGGTATTATAAATTATTTTTTTCTTTCAGTTGCACCACTTTGTTTTCTATACCATGAACCTTCCAAATTGTATCAGATATTCCGTGAGATGTATGTGCGTTTTTTCTTCAGACTTCATTCCATCTCTTCTCATCCTTCTGTAAGTTCATAAGAAAAACTGGATCAAGTTAGGTTGGACTGTAATCTGTTCTTTCTTTCCATTAAGAAAAAGTCGTCTACTCAAATTCTAATGCAACAAATTTTAATTTGTGATGTCAACCAATGTATTTTTATTGCAAAAATGACAAGATGAAATTGATATTTAAATATTTTTGTAATAATTTAAATGGAAAAAGTCTCTTGTCAACTACATTTAAATGATTTTTTTTTACATATTACAAGAATTAGAATGTCTGTATTATTATTCTTAACAAAGATGCCTACCTTCTTTTCTGATCTCTTATCTACGAGATGAAATAAATAATATATTATCTCTAGTGCTGTAGAAAAGTCTATAAAGCACTCAGTGTAGTTAGTGCTTGGCTCCTAGCAGGTGTTCTGTAAATAAATGGCTGTTGTTGTTATACTTATTATCATCATTCTTCTTTGTTAATGAAAATCAAATGTTGAATTGTCACTTGTTTGCCAATTTCATATTTGGGTAATTATCAGTTATAAAAGTACATATTTTCTTTGTATTCAATAAAATAATCCTTTGGCCTATAACCATAAGAATCAAGGAAAAGCATATATATAGGAGTTAAACATTTTAATCTGTTTTATTTTGGCTGTTCCTTTATCATCTTTTTTTTTCCTTTCCCATAAACCTGACTAAGAGCAGTATTTATTTTATTTCAGTTATGCTTTTTTTCCCCCTTTGGACCTGCTGTGGGTAACATGACTGCTACTCCAGGTGAAACATTCAATTGGAATATATGTCAGGGCTACTAAATTTCCCCAAAGAGGCAACTGTATTATTGCTATTAAATTAAATAGCTGTTCTTTATCCCCCCATTCTAAGGCTATGTATTCCTATTTCACCTTCCCCCATCTCCAGTTTTGCTCTCATACATTGCTAGTGAAAGTTGGCAAATCACAGAATTCCAGGATGTCACAGATAAACAAATGAAGCAACACCAGTTATCTTGGGTTTCTTATCTCTAAGAGAACTTGATTTTGTTCTTATCTTACCTTAATATTTAATCTGGAATAATCAGAAATATGACCAATAATTAAGATCAGTAATTCTTTTCTAATACTCATTCTAAGTATCATATTTTTACTCTCATATTCTATGCCATTTTATGCTTCAGAGTTTAAAAAAAACTGGCTGCATAGTACATACCCATGGTGTTCTCCCTGTGCAGAGCACTGAAGCCTGGCACTGGGCAACTCTGGGTATTTCTTCTCTATCTCTGTGCTGGTGGTCCTGGGTATCCTTTTTCAGTGAATTGATTGAGTCAGCCCTGCCCCTGTCCTTTCTTTTTTGATTCAGTGGAGTGAAAACTTACAGGCAGTCACCTCCTTTTTTGGCTTGCAGCCAGACTGAATTATTTGGAACCATGACAGTCTTTTTTTCTTTAGAAATGCAAAAAGAGGATTAAAAATTCCTTACAAAGATCAACTCTGAGGAATGCTAAGCTGCAAGAAAGACTTTATTCAGAGTTGTCAAATAATAAATGTACTTGAAAAACCATCTGCTTAAATTGATTAAGTTTTGTACTTCACAAATAATGCCCTTTTAAAAACAATAGATTTTAGTTTTAAAAAAATATGTGTATACTAAGTAATCAAACATTCTTGTTCAATAATTTCCTGATGCAAATTTCAAGCAGCTAGCTGCTGGTCTTTTCCTGGGGGTAGATTTCAAAGAAAGAGTGAGAAAAGCAGGCGATATTTTCCCTAGTGAGTGAGGCTGGAGGGGAAGGGACATATGGAGGGAGAATGAAGGTGGCTATATAGCACTAGGGAAATAACTGGAAACTGGAATGTATTCAGATAAAAACTAATTTTGCTGAGGTTAAGTAATAATGCGTGGCTTGCAAAGTGGCAAGTTTTCTGTAAGGTGATGTTTTCCTTGGTCTCTCCACATATTACATACTGGTTTATGTGGGGAGCATATTGTGTGAAAAGGGAGGCTCCTTAGCATATCTGTATGTGTGAGTATAAATAAAGAGAAGTAAAGTTTATGTTTAAACACAATGTTAGAGAGCCATTAATACATTTCCTGTTTTTGACTCTTAAACAGTATAAAGAATATTTATGTTGATAGTCTTTCTCATTTTCCATTTGAATAATTTGTTGGCATAGTTAATTTTTAAATATTAAAATATCTATTTCTCTTATGATTCATTATTATATCCAGGGTATTGTGTCACTCTGTCTGCTGTTTGAAACTCTTCTTCAAACTTACCTTCCCCAACTCTTTTATCATCTACGAGAAATTGGGGCTCAACCGTGAGTACTTTTCTCTCCTAATTGAAGAATAGATAGTTTCACAGAAAGCTATTTTTTCTTCATTGTAGAGCACTTGCAAAGATGTAATTTTTCAGAGAAATTAAGCTAACAATTTTCCTAATAAAACTATAATTATCAAGTAGTAAATTGTAATGACATTGTGCCAAAAATTCTTGAAAGAATTACCAAAATCCTAACAAAGTCTTCTTTACTAGGATTTTTGTGTCTGGTACAAGAGTCACCAAAATAAACCAATTTCTATTCGTAATGAAAGGTGTCAGCCAAAACTGAAGCAAACATTTGTGGAAACAAATAATACCTGAAAAATGTGATCATACCAAACTTAAGTCAGTATAGGCCACAGTTATCAGAGAATTACCTATGAAAACTATAGAAGTTAAAGTTGGCTGTCTTTTGTTAAAGGAAAGCAAATCAGGTACCTATCAATGGTTGTACACTGTGATTTCTCCTTCCTAAAATTTGAATTTTGTTCATTGGTCGCAGTATAAGTTATAAGTGAATATGTATAGTATCTCTGGACTTCAAGATTATTGGTTTTCTCTCTCTCTCTTTTAAAATAACAGTGTCTAAAGCAAGAGAAATTTCCAAATGATTTATCAATGTTTTCTTCCTGTCTTATCTGTGCAGCTATTTTCTCCTATTAAAGAGGGTATATTTGAAAAAAGTATTAACTCCTTGAGGCCACAAAAGAAGTTAGTGGGAAATAGAATAGTATAGTATTTGTCTTCTCCACTCTTGAATCCGTAGCAAATAGATAGCTGAGTGGGTGGAAATTTAATCCAGATTCAAATTCCATTTCTGTTAAGCTTTGTAATCCTGGTGAAGTTTTTTAATTTATCAAAGCCTCAATTTCTTTATGTTAAGATAATTCAGTTTATTTATCTTAAAAATCAAGAGAATTAGTACCTTGCAGAGTTGTTTAAAGATTGAATGATTATAAAGATGGAGATAGCAATCAAGATGGAGATAGAGATAGATAGGTATATAATCTCCTTTTTATAAAGTACCATTGAATTTCAGCCATCTTAGAGATGGCCTTTATAAAATAATACCTCATATCATCCATTGATAATACTGAGCGGATACCCTTTCCTTTGTAGCCATTAAAAAATAAAATTCTATTCATGATTCAGAAATATTTTATATGAGCATAAGACTTTCATTCTTAAACTTGTAGTAAATTGACTTCTTTTTGCTATTGTGAAATGAACATTGGAGTATAAGTAGGGTTTTCTTTACTAGGATGAAGACATTTAGTTCATTACTAGAAACTAAAATGACATTTTTATAGCCTATTTATATACTTTACTCATTAAAAGAAATAAATTTATTTCAATGACATGATAAACATTAAAATTCCTATGTAGGAAAATTGTAAAAATTCTAATTGTCAAGGTAGAAATCAATTTTTTAAAAACTGAAGCTTTTGGAAGCTTTTTAACTTTTAGTTTAATTTCTTTAATAGATACAGGACTACTTGGGTTATCTATTTCTTTTTGAATAAGCTTCAGTAGTTTATGTCTTTTACTAGGTTATCATATTTATAAACAAAGTTATTCATACTATTCTCTATGCTTAGCCTTTTTAATATTTCTAGGGTTAGTAGTGACATCATTTTTGTCATTCCTGATATTAGTAATTGTAATCTCCCATTTTTTCTTGATTATTCTGGCTGCAGGTTTATCAATTTTATTCGTCTTTGAAAGAATCAGTTTTTTATTCCATTGATTCTTTTTCTCTGTTGTTTTTCTGCTTCGATTTATTTCTACTCATATTTATTATTTTCTTCTTTTTGCTTGCATTAGATTTATTTTACTCTTGTCTTTCTGCTTGTTTAAGGTGGAAGTTAGATCATTGATTTGGGGACCTTTCTTTTTTTTCTAATATAAGCATTAATGTTACAGATTTCCCTCAAATTACCTCTTTACCTCCACCCAACAAATTTTGATGTGTTATATTTTCATTTTTATTTAATTAGAAATGTTTTGTAATTTCTCCTGTGGTTTCCTCTTTGAATATGGGTTATGTAAAAGTATGTTGTTTAATTTCTAAATATTTGGAAAGATATCTTTCTTTTGTTTATTTCTGTTTTAATTCTGTTGCAGTTAGACAACATGCTTCATATGATTTCAGTTGTTTTAAATGTGTTGAAGTTTGTTTTTGGATCCAGAACATGATCTGTCTTGGTCCATGTGCACCTGAAAAAACTTTGTATTCTGCAAGTATTGGGCAGAATGTCATATAAATGTCAAGGAAATCAAGTTTGTTAATAATGATGTTCAAACCTTGTATACACTTACTAATTTTCTGTCTACTTTTTCTATTGATTATTTAAAGAGGAATGTGAAAGGCTCTAATTATAATTGTGGATTTTGTCTATGTCTTCCTTTAGTGCTGTATTTGTTTTTTTCTTCATGTATTTTGATGCTTTGTTTTTAGGAGAATTGATCACTTTATTATTATATAATGTCCTGTTTTATTCCTAGTAATAAATCTACTATGTCTGATATTAATATAGCCATTCCAGCTTTTTTAAAATTATAATTGCATGATACATTCTTTTCTGTTCTTTTACTTAACATATTATCAATATCTTTTTTTAAGTGGGTTTCTTGTTGAAAGTATAAGCCGGGCGCGGTGGCTCACGCCTGTAATCCCAGCACTTTGGGAGGCCGAGGCGGGCGGATCACAAGGTCAGGAGATCGAGACCATGGTGAAACCCCGTCTCTAATAAAAATAGAAAAAAATTAGCCGGGCGCAGTGGCGGGCGCCTGTAGTCCCAGCTACTCGGGAGGCTGAGGCAGGAGAATGGCGTGAACCCGGGAGGCGGAGCTTGCAGTGAGCCGAGATTGCGCCATTGCATTCCAGCCTGGGCGACAGAGCGAGACTCCGTCTCAAAAAAAAAAAAAAAAAAAAAAAAAAAGAAAGTATAGTTGGGTCTTCCTATGTGGCAGTCTGTTTCTTAATTGGTATGTTTATACCACTTATATTTAATATAATTGATATTATTGAATTGAAATCAACTATCTTGCTAAATTTTTTTAGTTGTTCCATGTTCTCTTTATTCCTTTTTTCTCATTCTCTGCCTACTTTTGAATTGAACATTTTTTTATTCCATTTTATCTCCACTATTAGATTTTTATACTTTTTAAAGTATGTTTTTGATGGATGCCATGAGGTTTACAATATACTTCTTCCTTTTTTTTTTTTTCTTGAGATGGAGTCTTGCTCTGTCGCCCAGGCTGGAGTGCAGTGACGCGATCTCAGCTCACTGCAACCTCACCTCCCTGGTTCAAGCAATTCCCCTGCCTCAGCCTCCCAAGTAGCTGGGATTATAGGTGCATGCCACCATGCATGGCTAATTTTTTTTTTGTATTTCTAGTAGAGATGGGGTTTCACCATGTTGGCCAGACTGGTCTTGGACTCCTGACCTCAGGCAATCTGCCTGCCTTGGCCTCCCAAAGTGCTGGGATTATAGGCGTGAGCCACTGCACCTAGCCAATATACTTCTTTAATTAATCACATTCTACCTTCAAATAAACTTCAGGCCTAGATGGCTTCACTGGCAAAATCTACCAAGCACTTCAGGAAGAAATGATATCAATCCTTATTTTTCTCTGGCTACTATCAAGATTTTTGTTTTCAGTTGTCACCACTTTGATTATTATATAATCTAGGCATAGATTTCTTTGGATTTATCCTGTTGGGAGTTTGCTAAGCTTGAATTTATAAGTTTATGTCTTTTGACAAATTTGGAAGTTTTGACCCATTATTCCTTTAAATATTTTTTTCTGCACCATACTCATTCTTCTTTTCTTCTGGGATTCCAGTGACACAAATGTTGAAACTTTTGATATAAAAGAAAAAAAGAAGATGAAGAAAAATTAAGTTTATTATTTTCTCACAAGTCCTTGCAGGTCTATTTCTTTTTTTTCTATAGAGACAGGTTCTTGCTTTGTTGCTCAGGCTGGTCTCAAACTCCTGGCTTTAAGTATTCCTCCTGCCTCAGTCTCCCAAAGCACCGGGATTACAGCCATCACCACACACAGCACTTCACTTTTTCTTAATTCTTTTTCTGTATGGTGTAGATTGAACATTTTCTACTGATCTATAGTCAAATTATCTGTCTCTTTCCTCCATCATTTTCGTTTTACTATTAGATCCCATCTAGTGAGATGTTTTTGTGTGGTTTTTCAGTTCTACAATTTTCATCTGGTTCTTCTTCATACAAAACATATTGAACTGTACACTAATAAGAGTAATTTCTACTATACTGTAGTTTCCCCTTATCTGTGGGAGATACATTTCAAGACCCCCAGTGGATGCCTGAAACTGTGGATAGTACTGAGCCCTATATATACACCATGATGTTTTTCCCTATACTTACATAACTATGATAAAGTTCAGTTTATAATTAGGCACAGCAAGAGATTTACAATAACTAATAATAAAATAGAACAATTATAACAATATGCAAGCATCACTACTCTCTCTTACTCTTTGGGGCCATTATTAAGTAAAAAATAATAATAATAAGGGTTACTTGAACACAGGCGCTGTGATACCAGGACAGTCAACCTAATAACCAATGCAGCTTCTAAGTGACTAACATGTGGGTAGCATGTGCAGCATGGATACACTGGACAAAGTGATGATTCGTGTCTGGAGTGGGACCGTGTGAGCTTTCACCAGGCTACTCAGAACAGCACACAATTTAAAATTTATGGATTATCTTTGGAATTTTTCATTTAATATTTTTGGACTGTTGGTGACCACAGTTGGCTATGGATAACTGAAACCACAGAAAGTGAAACCATGGGGGATGACTATACATAAATTATAGCACAATAAACTTT